CGGTCTCTCTTAGCCCTTCCAGGCTGATCCAGGATCTCCTCGTCTTTTACTCTTCCTGTGCCATCCTACCGAGCAGTTGGACTCATCCATGCCAGGTCCCCGAAAAGAAGCTCCTAGAAAACAGAGATCACAGAGGGCACAGACCCAGCATGGACACTTTGGAAATGGTCCCGGGGCAGTAATGAGTGGGGCACCGTGACACCCCAAGTAGCTCAATTAGCCTGCGGATTGCCCAAGTGGGAGGATGTTAGTTGAACTCAGCCCTCCGCCTGGTGAAGCCACACCACCCTGGCTGAACTGCCCAGCAAACACTGGGCACCAGATCCAAAACAAATCTCATGATCTTCACTTTCTCCTGCAGGTGCTCACCCCGCCCTCAGCCCCACCTCCACCATCTACCCACTCTGGACACAAACTTAGGAGACATCCCTGACTTCTCCCACTCCTTCACTCTCACTTCCACATAGGAGCCTCATTCTGTTAATTCTGTTTCCTAATTCTTATAAAATCTGTTCGATTCTCTTCCTTCCCCCTATTCCAGAAGAGGCCGCCATTGTCTCTCACTTGGGCCTCTCTAATAGTCGGCCAGTCGGTCCCCTGCTTCTCCTCCTATCTCCACCATTACATTTGCCACCGTGCTGCCAGTAGGATATTTTAAAAATGCAAATAAAAGCATGTCAGCCCCTTGCTTGGAGTGCTTTATTGACTTCCCTTTGCTTTCAGGGAAACGTCTCCACTCCTTACCGTGGCCCATGAGGCCCTGTGTGTAATCTGTTTCCCCTCCTACTTTCTAACTTCATCTCGGGTCATACCCTCCCTTGCTTCATAGGCACCAACCTCAGTGACCTTCTTTCAAGGTCTTTCCCATTTCAGAGCCTTCCTTTTACTTGAGAAGCTTCCCTCCCAATCTCCCCCTTCCACCGCCACTTGTTCTGGACCAGGGGCCCCATGCTGGGTCCTTATGTTCCTTGGTCTTGGCCACTGTAGCTTAGGAGAGGTGGGGCTCATCATAAATGACTGTCAGTAGAGGTTTCCAGGTGATTCTGACTCTGGGAGTTCCTTGAGAGCAGGTACCATGACTTTTCTTTTGAAAAATGATTTTTATTCATCCGTTGTAGAAATTTTCAAGCACACACAAAACTGAAAAGTCCAGTGAACTACCCTGTACTCCTTACCCAGCTATAACAACCATCAACTCAAGGGCATTCTTGTTTCATCTATATCCCTGCCCATTTCCTCCTATTAACCATGTATTGTTTAAAGCTAATCTCAAATATCATATCATTTCATCTACAGATGCTTCACAGTGTGTCTCTAAATGGTAAGGTAATTTTATCAATGTAATTCTATCACACCAGAAAATTAACAATTTCTTAAGTATCAAACGTCCAGTCCATATTAAAATTCCCCCTCTCGTTTCACAAATGTGGTGTTTTTTTGGCCTCGGGGAACGTGGGATCTTAGTTCCCCAACCAGGGATCGAACCGCACGCCCTGCAGTGGAAGCGTGAGTCTATAAACCACTGCACCACCAGGGAAGTCCCTCACAAATGTGTTCTTAGAGTTGTTATATTTGATTCAGGATCTAAACAAGGTCCGTACATTGCATTTGGTCTCTCAAATCTCTTTTAATCATAAGTTCCCCCTTCCTTTCTTGTTGCCTGGAAATTTATTTGTTAAGGAAACAGGAGAACAGAAACCTGCTCCTCTCTGTTTCCCTGGTGTCTAGCGTAGTAGCTAGAAAAGAATCAGAACTTAATCAACGTCGGGCGAATGAATGAATGAAGGAGTGAAGGACCAAACTTCCTCAGCCTGGTGCCGGGCTTGGGCAGCCTTTCCTCTTCTCGGGGCTGCCTTTCTTCATTGTCCGTCCTTGGAATAATACCCTTTTCATCCATCCCTCAGTCTCCTGGTCTGCAAAGTGGGGCTGCTAATACCTGCCTTCTACTCCAGTTCCTGGGGAGGTTATGACAAAGGCTGGGATTTAAAACCTAAAGCCTAACACAGCTTTGAGCAATTGGTGCTATAAATACCAGAGGAGGAATTCTATTATTAAATGTCCTTTGTTCATAGGAGCTTCAGGCAGAGCGGTAAGGTTGAGAAGTAGAACCCCTTGACTGTGTCCTTCGCGCCCTGCTTCCGCGATTGTGGCCACTACAGCGGGCAGGGCTTGGGCCACGTCCTGGGGTGGGGAGCCCCAGGGCTCCCTTTCAACAAGTCAGCCCTGCTCTGGCTGGGGCAGGCCTGCAATATCCGATACCATCCCAGCAAAAATAGAATAGCCAGGAGAATGTGAGGACTGAGACAACTGGTCCTGTTTTGAAAAGCTTCGGAAGGATGTAGCCACAGGTGGGGATAAATGTCAGCCCTGAGGGTGAAGTCCAGCCAGGAAGGGGCTGGGCCCCCATGGTGCCGAGCTGAGATTTGGGCTGTACTCCTGACAGCACCTGTGGCCCCAGGGTCTGGTCAGGTCGCTGGTGACAATGGAGAGCTTCTTGCCTGGAAATTCTGCACGTGGTTATGAGTCAATTAGTTTTCATTTCAAACAAAGAGATCACAGAAGCTCTGATGAGTGGCCAAGAATTACTACAGAGAAGTGAAAAGCCAGTGAGGTCAAGTTTCAGCCTGCCGTGCTTGGGAGAAAAGTCCCTTCTGAAGCCAGCAGCCAGGTGGTATTGCTCTGGCCCATGCAAGCAGCCAGGAAACAAAAGCGGGGCTTGCCCTTTGGGGCATTTTTTACTTAACCTGCACGAGACTGTATTCGGTACTTCTGTCCCTTCTCAGCCC